AAACATCTCTTTCCGTGGACCCATTCGACATTTGACCGACGAGATCTTATCAAATAGGTTCTCCTCTACACAAGAGAGAAATGTCCACAGCATCTTCCTCGCCACTATAACAACCACATTAAAGGAAAGTGAAACGAAGCGGTACGGATAGATCTTCTCATGATGTCGTCGTAATTTCCATATGAACCTTTGCGCCCTCGATGTCCATCTCGACGGAATACATAGGGCCTCGCTCCACAACTCACCGAATGTGCAAACTGAGAACAAATCTTCCGCTAGAACATATGCAAAGATACACCGCCATATTTCTTGTCTTTTGTGCATCGCGAGAGTCGTGGAGCGAGGCCTATAACCAGTTCTCCACGTCAATCACTTCTCGACATCAATCACCGGCACACCAGACTCCTTCCTAAACTGTGCTGAGCAACCATCACCAACTCACTTTTTCAGAAGCACATTTGTTGCCTTTGTGTTCAGATTCATGAAAAACATAAAAACTAATCATCCATTGACGGAAGTCACGGAACATCATAGGGTTCGAAACCACCTCACGCCAGGAACATTCTTAACCAGCAATGTCGTGTAACAGCAAGCAACTCGTGCTATCTCCTCGCAACATCATCATCAAAACACTTTCACAGAAGCACCTTGGTCCCTTTCTAATCATCCATTGATGCCCATACCATAAGATGCATATCCGCACGTCTCGTAGAGAGAGGATAGTAGGATACCAACTCCACCTCCTACAGCAGCTAATAAGCTCAAATCGCATCAAAAACCACCGAACGGTCACCTTCCACCTTCTTTTCCTCCTTATACCTGACTCTGCAACACTCCTTCCCCAGTTCTTCCTCCTTACATACCCAAGTGCATCATCTAATAGAATGTAGCTTAGAAGTAGAAGATGCGCAGCATAGTGGAAGATGTGCACTTTTTCTAATTGCATCCCTTCACTACCTGCGCATCAACGACACTGAAGAAAGGCGGCACTCTAGCCTTCAGCACTGCGCAAACCCCCATGAAGACAACCCCTTCTTATTCCTTTTCTTTCCTTACACCTCTCTCTCCTTCCCCCTTTCTCCTCTCTCTCCTTCCCCCTTTCTCCCAACACAAAACGGGCCAATTAATGTTCCCCGTCCCGAATGCTGCAGTCTCCAAACAACTGCAGATGTGCACAAGATTGCCAGCATCATTGTCCTTGCCGATAAACGGTTGGGCCATCGTTTTTTCAGCCTTTCGGCATAACCGTTCTTATTCTGTACAATTGAGTCCTGAGTTCGAAACCGAGTCTGCCATCTCTGCAAGCTGACAGTATGCCAATATCGCGGACACCGACACTCATCTTCCCACTGATGTTTTTGAAAAGAAGAGGACGAAATGCGCAAACTGCACCCATGAGCTTTTCATAATTTTCCACTTTCAGAAGAACACTTGAGCAAATACGATATTCCTGGAAACAACAATGCTTACGCTCTACGTGCAAATGGGGGTGCATCGGCATCATCGCCCTCCTGAACTGTCCGTTCCAGTTCCGCTCCATGAGAAAGCAGAAGACGTACTACTAGCCCTGAGCTCCTTGCATGGATTAACGCGTTGTCGATCATTCCCATTCTCCCCAATCCTGCACAAGGACAGAATTCATGGATAGTGGAAGACGCATCAGAAACCAATGTCGAACGCCAACAAGCAAGAGATTTCAGAAATACAAAGCTAGACACAAAACGCCCACCAGCACTCCATTCACTTCCAGATCTGCTTACTCATCACTGCTGAACCATCCACACTCGAATATTTAACCAAACTACAAAGCTCGCGTCAAACTCCTGAGCGCAAGCACGTGCCCAGGGGAGAGTAGGTCTACATCAGCACCACTTTCAGGTCATCTGCATCGTAACTACTCAATAGTAAATACTAATCTCTTGCAAAGTAAAAAAAAGGGGTTCTTCAGAGCCAGACTGCCACCCCGCAGAGAAGAAGGGGCAATGCTTCCCGGGGGTGTCAAAAAAAGACGAAAAAAAAGATGGGGGATACTCGCTAACCAGCTCCCCCAGCAAACCGAAAGACGTAAGCGACCAGTACACCACGGCTTGGCAGAGCCACACTGTGCGCCAAGCTTTTACCGAACAGCCAGCGGCGGACAGCCACCAAATAGCGAAAAGATGGCAGTTATTTACAATTTGATAGAAATGCTGTTGTTTCAATCAATAATGGATTGGCTATTGGTACAAGAATTTTAGGTTGTGTGACACATGAACTACGGAAAAAACGCTAATTTGAAAAGTCTCAATGACTTCTTTTCTGTCTCTGCTGGCGCCGCGAGCCATTGTTGTCCAGTAGCCCCAGGCCTCCGAAAATTTAGGAGTAGACGTTGAAGAACTTTTGCAAGGCTGAGACTGTTTACTGGCAGTTTAAGCCAGATAATAAGGTGCTGCAGATGCCACAGAAAGTACACTCCACGGGAGGGAGAGAAGAGTCCTTCAGGAAGCCTAAGTGCAGTACATCTGACCTTTGCGACAGGGAACACGTCTCTCAGCTCACGATAAGCCCTTAGGCCTTTGCCCAAGCCCTGAAAAAGGCAAGCAATGCAGATCATGCACCTCCACCCAGGTGGTTAGCGCCATGAGCTCAGCCCGGTGTTTGGACCTCCCTTTGATGTCAGGGGAATGTGGCTGAGGACAAGTGGCTGGGTTACATGCTGTGGCACATGAGGACAGCCCATGCTGCCCTGCACAGGATATAGGCACTCAAGAGGCAGATAGAGGGCATTCCTGAGGCATCAACTGGCCAAGCTCAGTCGGTACACCCAGGAACCGCTGAATGCAGATGCAATGACTTGCTGGTTCCAGGTTGCCTGTAGCCTCTCTCTGACGAGGCTGTACTACAGATAGAGGCAGATTCGTAATTTTGTTTGGCTGAGGGCTAACCGAGAGACCTACCTGTAAGGAAAATTCGTGAGGGACATATTTGTAAATATAGGGAATATGGGCCCGGTACTAACTCGAATTTCCTACAGCTCCCCTAACTGCGAATAGCAGACCCGGGCTACCCCTAGGACAGACAGGCACAATGGGCCCAAGCTGATAGACGGTCCTATAGCCTATCGCCGGGTAGGGAGAGGCCGTAGAGGCCGAAACAGAAACGGTACTGGTCGGTCAGTCAGTCCGGTCTAGGTCGTGTCTAGGCTAGTTTAGGGTATACATAGGATGGGGACATCGGTCCTGGGCTTTTGGCAGTTGACACTTCGTGGTGGAAGTTGCTGCGCACACGGTATCATGTCGTGGTTGCTGATTCCGGTGGTGGAGACAGCGGACATAGCCAAACCTTCGGAGCGCTGACCAGACTGGGGTCAACGCTGTCCGCTCTGACTCTCTGGGAGTCAAACCGGTCTGGGCTATCAGAGGTCTGATGCAATGGAGCACGTGGTGCACTGCTGACCCTCCTCAGGGTAGGGTCCCAGTGGCGATGCAGCCATAGCTGCATCTTCTCAGAGGATATCATCATCTGGGCTTCATCTTTATCAGGGACTGTTGGCACTGAGCTTCTTCTTCAGCATCTGGGTGGCGATTGGCTCCGGGAGCCTGTTTCATCTTGGCGCAGGCCACTGAGTTGGATGTCAGGGTGGCGCTGGGTGTTACCTGGGGTTATGGTGCTATTTTAGCTGCTCGGTGTGTGCGGGGTCGAGGCGCTACCTCTCTGAGGGTAGCGCAACAGGATTCTGAGGTTATTCAGTGAAAACGATGCTCTGAGTTTAATAAACAGTGGTAATACTGTGTTTGAGTTGTCATCTCTTCATTGATTTCTGGTTGTGATCACTCGGTTGTCTTCTATGAATGATTGTTGGGACTTGTGTGGAGAGAATTCACAGTCTGTGTGTTCTGTCACTTCGCTCCTCTGAGTATTCCGCTGCGTTCTTTCTGTTGGGCGGTGTGACACTCCACTACCTCTCCCCTTTCTTCTGTGCATGTATGGGCATGTACGGGAGTTCCTGTGAGTGAGCGTTGACAAAATTTCAACGGACAATCATGTTTATAACACAGACCTGAGTTCGAACCCGGAAGTAACCACACGAGTTTAAAAATAGACATAAAAAAGAGGGTTACACCAGCAATGGCAAGGCACACCTGCAGTAAGGAGACTCGTCCTTTTGTTCGCTTGTACGAAGACAGCAGGAATCTGGCCAGCTTTACAGCCAGGTGTAAGGGATTAGCATACCGCCTTCGGGGGTCAATGCCCGGGTCCTTCAGCCTCAGCAAGGGGGGACACGACTCCATCCGACTGGCACCCCACGGCTCCCCGATTTCCTCCTCAAACCACCAGCAAATGAAAGCCACCTCAGGCAGGCTGGCACATAGATTTTATTACAGCCTCCATGTGTACGAGTTCAGTGCGGCTTTGGATAGGTGTTTCAAATTTGAAAAGCAAGCTTTCCCGACATATGTCCACGGAGTGATCTACGTCATCCAGAGAATAGCTATGACGGACTTCATGAACCATTGCCCGGGGGGGGGTGAGGAAGGGAGGAAGTGTTCTTCATGATTTCAGTTGCTGGGTTGAACTTTCCAGTTTCTGCCCTCTCCATTTCTCAGCTTTGACCCTACGAGCGAGCCAGAATGTGGAAAGTGTCCCTGCTGGCTGTTTTGCTCGTATCATTTCTTGGCGGGGGGGGGAGGGACTACCTGAGGGAAAACTTTCAAAAAATAGCAGGTAACAGACGAAGGAAGACCTGAGGAAAGCCAGAGAGGCTCGCACTGGCCCCTGCTGGCGCTGTGTGAGGACCAAGTGGACAGGATTTGCCTCCGACTCACTTGTTGCTCATGCCATGCTGGTGACATGCACAGGAGCAAATGCTCCAGCATTACGAAGGGAGATTCGTCTGGATTACGGAGTGAGACGAGCTTTGCCAGGGTCAGGACTACCATCTTCCCCTGAACACAAGGCACCCTCATCATGACTGTACCTGAACGGAAAGATAGCTAGTGTACATACATAATGAGGGCGCATGTTGTTCGGGGAAAGACAGTAGCACATCAGCACGGGAACTACACAGCGCATGGAATGTGGGAATGACGACGAAAAGAGAGCTGAGGCACTGAGAAGAAGAAATCGATAGCTAAACTTGTCATGAAAATAGAGAATCAGAGGCATACCAGTTGGCTCTGCAGAGGCCTGTGTGCCTCGTTGGCACTGGTCCAGGGCCGCTCACCGTCGATGGCTGCAAGTCTAAGGTAGGAATTAGAAAAGGAAGAGTAAGTCAGACAGAGAGGGTAAGTATTGGTACATTTTGTGGTTATTTTCATTCTTTTGTTTTTCTAATCTCCGTTCTCCGATTCCATCCTCTCTCGCTTTCAGAAGCTCATACAGTTTCATTTCTCGACTATATACAGTTTCAAAGCAAAATAAAGGATGACTGAAAAGACAAGGATTGTGACATCGGAAACAGTTAGCAGGTAAAAAGGACAGTACATGAGTGTTCCCTTCTGGGTTTTGGACGGGTATGAGCGGGGGACATGCATGTTAAATATTCAAAATTGTCTTATTCCCCTCTACCGTTTGGCACCTGTGTTGAGCGGATTTAGCCCTACGAGAGAAAAGACGGAAATCATGAGGGAAGTCAGAAGACTCAGAACAAAGAGAAGATATTCAATAGGGAACAGAAAGACTAGAAGGGGGGGGGAGGATTGGAAGTGATATATAGCATCACAAACAGTATCACTAGCCTTCTCAATGCTCACTGATCTTCATCTTGAGTCTTTGTCACTTCGTACCATCTCCTCTTTCTCCTTTTCCTTGTGTGATGGTTTACTTCCAGCGATAAATAGAGAACGAAAGGAAAGAGAACGACGTCAGAGAGGGAGTCCGGAAAGATGGCACAGAGTCAGAGATGAACCCAGCATTACAATTTCATCTTTCAAATGCACCAGTCACTTGGCTTTATTCAGTAAAGGTGAAAAATAGGGTCAAAATGTGACAACGGGAAGGGAATGCCATATAGAGGGGTTAGTCTGTTTTGCTACGAGCTTAAGGGAATGGATGAGAGACAAACAAACAAGGAGATTTTACCATTTCATAGAGCCTTTGAACTCCCCTCAACTTGGCACTTAGTCCTTCCCCTCCACTCAGCACCCCATCCTCCTCCCCACCCTTCTCTGTCTTCTTTAGAACTCCCCTCCACCGGGAGTCCTGTCCTCAATCCCACCCTTCTTCTTGCTGTCGTATTTTTTTCTTCTTTTGAACCCCGATCTGCACCATATTCCCCCCCCCAACATCATCCTGTTCCCCACTTCCTCCTCTTCCTCCTTGTAACTCGAAAGGGCACCCTATGCCCCTCCCCAACCTTTCTCTTTCTCCTCCTCTTCCTCCTTCCTCTTCTTCTTCTCCTCCTCCTCCTCCTCCTCCTCCTCCTTCCTCTTCTTCTTATTATCCTTCATCTCCTCCTCCTCCTCGTCCTGCTCAGCTATCCCGCTTCCCTTTCTTTCTCCCCTTCATCCTTCCACTTGGTGTCATCAACCACACCACTTTCCTCCTCCCTATCCTTCATCATCGCATCAATGGGCAGCGTCAACATGCAGACGTTGGCTGTGATACAACTGGAGATAACATGCTGTGAATGCAGATGAGAAGACATCCTAAAGATGAGCCCATTAACAACATGGCCACCCTACGTTTTTTTTTTGTTTTTTTTTTTTAGCTAACCAATGCTCCTTTTCCTTTATCCTTACCTCTTCTTGATCATCGTTGTTTCCACTTCCTTTTTTATCAGGTTTTGGATCTGTAGCGGCGGCCTTGGCCAATCCCGCGTATTTCCCACTGTCAACCATCTGCTTCAACTTGTCGTCATCTATTTCCAACTCCTCCATAGCAAGCTCATCAACTTCCTCTAGCTGAGGCTCGTCGACTTTTTTTATCGCCAATTTCGCCGTTTCCGGCCCTCTTTCAGCGGTTGCGCCCCCCCCCCCAACCTTTCCTGCTGAAGCCATTGCACACGATGGGCTGCCGGCCTTGTCGGAAGGTGCTTTCCCCTCCGATTTGTCATCTACCACAAGCCAGTCGCTCTCCGCACTCCCACCACTTGCTTCGCTTTTAGAATCAACTTCTTCTGGCACATCCTGACCGTGCGGTGCACCTCGTGGACTCACATTCGCGGCCTCTGGTTTCGCTGTCTGGGCAACGGCCGTCTCTCTCGCACCTTCAAGTCCTGACCCAACCGCTACATGCTCACTGGCTGCCCCCTGTACCTTGTTCATATCTTTCTCAACAGACACTGGTCTGCTCTCGCTTTGCACCAGCTCCCCAGAAGACTGTTTAAAATGACCTCCATCTTGGTGGTCCCCACCACCGTCGTTTGTCAGGGTGCCCGATTCATCGTGTTCAGAGACTACAGATTCTGCAGGCAGCACAGCTACTGAGCTCTGAGACGTGCTTGCCTGCGCGGGGCGGGATTCCTTTGGAGTCTCTGCATCATCGACATCCCAGCTCAGCTCTTCCTCATCGTTTGTAGTGGCCCCTGTTAAGTCACAAACGCACGTCAGGTTCAAACACAAGAATAAACAGGATTAAAACTTCAAAAAGGGAGTCGAGATAACAACCCACCAGCAATGAGGATGCACCTGGCTACACCTGATGGAATAGCAAGCACCACGATAACCATAGCAAACCCTCATTCCAGCACTCTTCACACAATCCTTCCTTCCTTACTCCCTACGAGGACCGTCCTGTTAACCAAGGAGATTAGATGAGACTTCTGACATTAGGGTTTTTAGCCTTCCATAATGTGCCATTTGTAATTAATTACCTGCCCTCTTTGCTCTCCAGGTTATTAATGCCGTTCTAGTCAACCATGCTGCTACACAGACATTGTCGGGCCAATGTCGGCTGGAGGGAATAATGTGATAAAACAACACCAGCCTCCGGAGACATACCTGCTAGAAGTACTGAGAATGGCTGCTCTCCAGCCCTCTATGCATCTTGGGAAAGTGCCCTAACAATAGACAGTATTAGACACTGATAAGTCATCATAAGTTCTAGGCTAGGCCATGTGTTGATTGTCAAACAAGCGCCACTGATGATTAGTAGGGAGCATCCCGTCCTGCTAACTCGTACGGACAATTTAACCTCTACCAATAGACAGTATTAGACAATGATAAGTCATTTTAGGTTCTAGGCTAGGCCATGTAGATTTTGATATGTTGATTGTCAGGCAAGCGCAGTTGATGATTAGTATGGAGCATGCAGTCCTCCTGCTGACTCGTTCCTACAATCCCATCAACAAAGCTTCCACAAGATTTAGCATTCCCTTCAATCGACAGATGCCTCGGCATGACTTAGTATTGACAGATCCGGTTTGAAAAGAGTAGGTTTTCAGAGGATCAGGTTCGGAGAGAAAGCTTGAAAAAAAAGCCCCAAAAATTTGTGGGAAACAGAGAGGTAAAGGCCCCATGGAAAAGAGAGTGTACACTGTACAGCATTTACTTTGCCCTCCATAACGAGCGAAAACTTTCGGACATTGGCCAGCAAAAAGGACGCAGGAGGAGTGGGAGCAGGGTATCGTGGATACATACGTTTCACAAGGTCAGCACGTGCATCTTCTGCTTGCTGCAGTTTGTGCAGCCGATAAAAGTAACGAGTCCAGAAAGTGTCGTACTCCACAATCAAAGGCACTGCACACAAATACAGAAACCCAGCCAGTTCAATGGGATGCTTGCCTGTAGCATGCGTTGTCACACGAGCCATAGAATGCCGACTGAGTGTAAAATGCTCTACAATTGAAAAAACGAGCACAGAGTAACTGACCTGAAACTCAGACCTTTACTTGCCCCTTCCCATTGCATACTAGGTTTGTAAAGCCTTGCTTACTCCTCTTTTCCCCGGACACTGGGGTACATATCTGATGGGAGAGTCTGCACTCCTCGAGAGTGATCTGCCGTGACAGTACCTTGTGACGATGTGTCACGTCATTCCATATCACTCCTCTCTATCCTCCTGGCATTACCTAATGAAGAGGTGTCAAACAGGATTACATATTTAGGAGAGAAGAAGGTCATTGAAACGGTATTCACCAGTTCGAAGTAGCTGATGCAGGACCCAGGGTTCGATCCCTAGTTCCCCAACTTACCTGTGAACAATATCTGTGACAACT